CGTGCTGATCCGTTTCACGCTGGAGGTTCTGGAAATGCTGGAGACTCATCCATACACACACGACGGTCATCTCGTCCTCATCTTTGGAGAACACCCTGAGGACCTCGGGGTCATCTTCAGAGAAGAAGATGGGATGCGCATGCAACCTGCATCGATCTGGCAGCTTCCGCAGCTACAACAGCGGGTGCAAGGCAACAACAGTTTGCAGCTCTTTACAGTGGCATTTAACCAATGCTGTTGGAGCGCTCCCTACCGGAAGCCCACCCGGTTGATTACAAATTTGGAGGCCTTGCGGAAATGGGGGCCTTGCACCTGGCCTGACTTCGACTCTCAAGGGGTTTACCTGGGTCCAGTCACAGATTTGTGCAGTTGTGTCCCCTCGGTATCCCTGGCTCGGCAAGCTACAGATGCAGACTTTCGCACAACTGCCACTTCCATCTATCCAGAGCCTATGGATAGAGCCATTGCCCAAGCTATCTTTGACGCTGTTACTGTTGACCCACCTTCTGCTAAAGTGGGGGGCTTGGCTTCGAAGACGGCTCAACAGCAGGACGTGGCCAGCAAGCGACGGAAGGTGGAGGATGGTGCATTGAGCAATGCAACGTTGAGCAGTGCAACATTGAGCAGTGCAACAACATTGAGCAACAGTGCAAAGGGTACAGCAATGGTGTCGAGCAACAATGCAACATTGAGCAAGTCGACAGTGAGCAAGTCGGGGGGCCGGCCCGGCGTGGGCCCGCCGATGCAGACAAGATATAAGGGTGATCTTCGTGCAATTCATGATGGAGCAGGGCTCTGCTCTCCAGGAAGATGGCCGGTGGGCCGACGCACTGCCCCGGCAACGGAGCAGGGCAGAGAGCTGGCAAGGTGGTGTGTGAAGGCTTTCGAGGATTGGGTGGAGCTTGAGGGCGAAGAAAGGGTCAAACAGCTATTCTGGTCCACAGCTGGAGGCAAGCTTGGAGGCACGCCCTTTGGCGGGGAGATCTTCGGGTTTCGTGAAAGGTTAGACCTATGGCTGGAAGAGAGAAAGTTGCGCCCAAGGAGGAGAGGATCGGACAGGTCCACTGAGATCAACTTTAGGAGGCTGGCGGCGGTGGCTCAGGTGCTGGCGGATGAAGACTATGAGTTTCTGGAGGAGGTAGCATCCAGAGGCGTGCCGCTGGGGGTGGATGAGGAGCTGCCAAGAACCCCAGCGGTATACGAAGAAAAGTTGAAGTGGACAGTCGAGCAGACAGAGGAGGAGTTTCATGACATCCTGGCGGACAACTATGTGTCAGCAGAAGAGAACTCTGGAGACATTGCAAGACAGGTGTTGGAGGAAGTCCAGAAAGGCACCATTCTGCGTCTGTCGGAGCGAGATGCCAAGGAGAGGTTTGGTGGTCGGTTGGCTGTGGCCGCGCTTGGAGCGGTTCCCAAGGAGATTGGCACCACGAGAGTGAGGTTGATACACGACGGCACTTACAGTGTGGATGTCAATCGCCGTATCCGGGTCCGGGACCGCATGCGCTTCCCGCTGATCGATGATGCTGCGGCCATACTGCGGCAGGTGGAGGAGGAGAAGCGCGAGCGAAAGGAGGCCATCAGGTTCTCGGTTCTCTATGACATTGCCAGCGCCCACAAACTGGTGCCGGTCAGAGAGGAGGATTGGGGCCTGCAAGCCTTCAGGCTTCCGGGTGAAGACTCGGGAGACATCTTCGTGCACACCCGTGGCACCTTCGGCATCGCTAGCGCTGCATATTGGTTCGGCCGTGCCATTGGAGTGGTGGTTAGGTGCTGCCATCGCATCATGGGGCGCTACATGGGTGTGCTTCACTTGATATATGCCGACGATGGGTGGTTGACGGCAACAGGGGTTCGTTTCTGGAAGAAGATCCTCCTCTGGCTGTTCCTATTTGAGCTCTTGGAGATACCGGTCACCTGGAAGAAGGTCAGGGGAGGAGCTGAGGTTGACTGGATTGGTTACCACTTGAACGTCTCCACCTTCGAGCGGGGCATCAATGAGTCCAAGAGGCGTTGGATCCAAGGTTGGATCGACACAAAGCTGGAACAGGGTGGAGTGCTCGGTCGAGAGCTGAAATCCGTGCTGGGTCGGCTCTCCTTTGTCGCTGGGGCCTTACGTCACGTGAGGCCGTTCCTTGCGCCTTTGTTCTCCTGGTCAGCCACTCTAGCAGGAGGTACTTTTGCCAAGTTCCCGGACGCGGTGATTATACTCCTCGAGTACGTGAAGGGGGAGGTGTCGCGCAAGCCGACGCGGCCGCTGGAGCCGTTGATGACGGCGCCCATTGACATCTTCCGCGTGGACGCAAAGGCGGCTGGGGAAGAGATTGTGATTGGCGGCTGGGAAACTTGGAAGAGGGTGGAACAGAAGCATGCGCGCTGGTTCTCCTTTCGGTTGAATCGTCGCAACGCGGCGTGGGCTTATCTGAAGGGCGATCCTTTTCGCTCCATCGCCACGTTGGAGCTTATTGGTGTTCTGGCGGCTGTCATGGTGCTGGCACCGGATGCAGAGTGGTCAAAGGGCGATTCTTTGGTCACTCTTACAGCGCTGACCGATAATCTTGGCAACACCCATGTGTTGAAGAAGTTTGGCAGCAGCAAATTTCCGTTGAGCATTGTGGCCATGGAACTGGCGTCGCAACTGGACAGGTGTGGCATCGATCTCGACCTACAGTGGGTTCCAAGGTGGCAGAATCAGGAGGCGGACGACCTCACCAATGAGAGGTTCGACGATTTCGACTAGGCAAACAGAATCGACGTTCGCTTCGAATCGTTAGAGTTCCTGGTCATGAGTCGCCTACTCGACAAGGCGGCGGAGCTTGATGAGGAGTTAAGGCTGCACAAGACGTCGAAGGAGGCAAAGCAAGCTTCAATGAAGGCGGTCAGCGAGAAGACCAAGGCGAAGAAGGGCCAGATGAGGTGGCAAGATCCTTGGTGACGAAGGCAGGGGGCCGGTTCGTTGTCGGTGGTTCTCCTCACGTTTCGAAATAAGTAAAGGAAGGTAGGGGGCGGGGTGCGCGGGCCTCGCCGTAGGCTAAAGTGGGGGGAAGGTACTGCGAGGCCATGGTTAGAGCTCCACAGTATAAATAACTGAGG